TTTAAGAAGTATCACTTCTGCAACTGCAGGTGGGGATTCCCTCCTGGGGGTGGCACTCAGAGCATCACTTGGAACCAGGCCTGAATGTGTTTAATGCGGTGCAGAGATGTGAGGTAGGGGAAGGTACTGCCAGGAGAGTCCCTACCAGCCAGCTGGAACTGAAAATGCTCATTTATTGGTAGCAGGAAGGCTTCACAGCAAGCCTCCTAGCCACCTGCTGGTGGAAGCAAATGCTCTTGTTTATTGCAATGTTGTGTTTGAATGTATACACATGCATAGGATGTGTGATCAGGGGTTTTGGATATTCCTCTTCTGAGTACAAGTCACTTTTAAGAGTTTACTAGATAGTTGTTCTGCAGTGTTTGTTGCCATATTCCAAAAGAAAAATGCAAGCAGGACAAAGACATTTTTATTATTTTAATTCAGAAGTATATAAGCTTATCTGGAGGTTGAACTTGATGCTCTCTGGAGGTCCCTTCCAACCCCTACAATTCTGTGGTTCTGTGATGACTCCTTATAGCTACACTCTGACTATACAGTGAATGATGAAAGTCAGGAATGGTAGACTAAGAGGTGTGATGTAGATAAATTACTGCTGTCAACTTATATGCTGCCCACATGCTTTTGCTACTGAATTTAAAATTGTGAGGATTTGTTTACTATTTGGAGTTACTGTTGAAGAAAGTGTTTCAGTAAAGAGCTCAGCTAATTTGAGTGCAGAAAGCCAATGAAAGCAAGCTACTAAATTTAAATTGAATGTGGGAGGTGAAGGTAGATCAACTTAGAATTGAGTTAAGAATTTACAGAACTGCTGCTTCTACTGTGGAGAAACTTGCTAGTTTTGATGAGTAGTTCTCCAAATCCCAGTGACATCAGTAGAACATAATCTATTTGCTCCATATTTCTGGTTCTAAAAGAGAATGGAAGCTAGATTAGAAAAAGTGAATCCCAAGTATACACATGAAACTTGTCAAATTGCCTTACACTCTGCTGTGAAACCAAATATTCAACGTCTGCAGTCTGTTAAAGAAATGTATACATCCCTTCCTGTTTCTGAAGAAAATAAAAGCAGAGACAATGCTGCCTTATTAGTGATGGGAGAGCAGCCTGGAAAAACACCTTGGTGTCCACATCTTCACTGTGGGTATTGCTTCCCAAATCTAAATATGTAGGCTCCAACTCTAGTCTTGGTTTTAGTTTTCAGTGTTGAAATATTTTTAACAGTAGTGTCTGGGTGGGTATTTTTGTAGCAGCTTTTCTTCCCTTCATTTTAAGGAACGTAGGTTTTAAATATTAGTCTCTCCTGTGAATTGAAGTGAGAGTAAATAAAACTTCAGTTGATTTGTGGGGAAGCTCACTGAATTTAAGTATTTTACTCCTTTTCAGGACTTGATGCCTCTGTTCTGTACAGAAAAGTACTTTACTTCAAAACTCCTTTCTAAAATACGTAACTTCCATTTTCGTCTTTGTGTTTTTGCCGAAGCTGAAAACCACAGAAACTTCTTTATTTAGAAGTGATTGCTCCTGAGAATGAAACAGCACCTAGACAAAAGATGTTCTGATCCTTCTCTTGATCTCTTTTCACTGAAGTTATCTGAGCAAGAGCCACAGTTAGATTTTTGTTGTTTCCTTATGTTTGAATGCTACATCACACTTAATCTCTTAAAAAATGGAAGAGGAGTGGAGGGGGAGGAGGGTGAATCTCACTTGTATGAAAATCCTCTTAGTGTATATCAAATAGCTTCCTGAAACATCTGGGTGTCCCTGTGTGCAATTCCAGCTTCTCATGTAGCTGACCCAGTCTGAAATATCTAAAATATCGGAATAAAGACCTGTAGGAGAACGCTAAGTGTCCTGTAACCATGTGCTATTTATGTGAACCTCAACCTCTAGCTGTGTGGCTGTGATGCTGCAAACCAGTACAGCTCCAGGTGAAGTATAGTTTGTCCTTAAAGCAATGCTAGCTTATTACCTTTCTTTTTGCCAGTGCCTTATTTCAGGTATGCACTTAGCTCTTGTTAGCAGAAGACGACTGTTTTCCCATGAGCAGACAACATGAACATCACTGACATGTACAAAACACCCTGCTGGTGACTGCTTTTGTGGTCACATGAGCTAACTGACCTCTGTTGTATGTCAGCTTGTGAGAGAGCAGCTGGTGCTGCTTTTTTTTGCTCCCATCAGAGCTGCTGCTGTTCTTTTTTACTAATATGAAAGCACCACAGAGCTCTTCCTTAAAACTAAACAGAGATACTCAGGATGCATTTCCTCTGATGTTGATAGTGATATGAGTGCAAGGGAATGGGCAGCCATCCCATCTCTCCTTCCCAAACTAGCTCCCCTAGCCCCTTCTGGCTCTATTTTAGGAGGCAGGTGTGATGCTACTGATGGGGGTACACTGGGTAAGGACCTGGGCATGGAGCAGCAGCTCTGTGGTAATTCCCAAGGTGTGAAATGCATCCCAGGCTCTGCAGCCAACTCTCCTTCCCCTTCTTTCTAAACAAGGAGAATCACTGCCCTAAAAGACATGTTTTAAGAGTCTGTACCTGTACTGAAGATGCTTCTTGCTCATGGGGGTGGGGCTTAAATGAGGGAAATTACTTGTCTGATCATTGTTTTGATACTCTTCTACTGAAGTATCCCATTGGGAAGATTTGATAGCATCTTTACTTTTTCTAAAGGGGGGCTATAAGAAAGAAGAGGACAGACTCTTTAGGGGGAGGTCTGTTGTGGTAGGACAAGGGGAAATGGTTTCAAACTGTAAGAGGCGGGATTTCTGACTGGATATAAGGAAGGATTTTTATTTATACAATAAGGTTTGTGAGACAATGGGCAGGTTATATCCAGAGATTTGGTACATGCTCTATCCCTGGAGGCATTCAGGGTCAGGTTTTGGACAGGGCTCTGAGCAGCCTGATGTAGCTGTAGGTGTTCCTGTTCATTGCAGGGGAGTTGGACTATATGGCCTTTAAAGGTTCCTTCCAACTCAAATGATTCTATGATGAAAGGTGGAAAACAAACTGAAGTACAATGGGCAAATCAATAACCAGTAGAGGGGAATATTGAATGAGAATGAGGAGGAAAGGAACCAAAGCAGTGAACCACGCTGTTTCAGCCATGATGCTTGGGTCTGCAGAGATGGTTGGTTGTAACTTGGATGTTGGGCAGTGGCCTTGGCAAGTGCAGGAGTCCACACAGAAATGAAGGTGAAAGAAGAGACCAGCTAGGTGAGATGGGCAGCCTAGAGGTGGGCTGCATTATCAAGTGTGTGATGGATTCCTCTGGACAGTTTAAAGCAGGATGTGAGATCAGAGGAAAAGATTAACAAAACATCTTGTGAAAATGTAAGATCAGGGAAAATAGCAGTGCTAAATATCATTTGCACAGTACTAAGGGAACATGTTAGACACATCTGTAACTACTGCAATGCAAATTGTTCAGCACCTGGTCTCTCTTGCTTTGGAATGACAAGATTTGATGCTAGGCAGAATTTAAGTGTTATCTTCTCAATAGTAACTCAGCAACTTCTAGATGTATATTTTAGAAAAAAATAAAAAGCAGTGGATTCAGATAACCCCATCCAGAATTGGCTGGCAAAGTGTCCAGACCCTTATTGTGTATTTTGAGATGGTTATAAAGTTCCAGAAGAGAAGAAATCTTGGCATGCCTGTTTTTAGAAAGAATAAGTGGTATAACTTGGATCACTGTAGAGCTGTCACCTTGAAATTAGTTCTGGGCAAAATTGATTTTTAGAGCTTGATGTAAAAATTGCCTAATGATGTATTTAATAAGGATTAATGATTATTAACATGAGTTTAGCTGGAGGGAACACTTCTGCTGTGAACTTGCATCTTTTAAGACAAACTAAATCTCTAAGAAAATTACTTCAAATGGTACATCATATTGACCAAAAGACCACTGAGGATTAGTATTAATCTAAAACCAGCAACAAAACATATGCACAACAGCCTGTTCTCAAATGCTGTCACAGGCAGAGCTAGTGCATTATTCATGGTTGTAGACATGTTAGGACTGTCTGAAGGATTGTGTCATGGCTGAGTTATGTCATACCACATCACTTTAAGGAATAGAATCTGTTTTGAAAATCCAAATTTAAAAAGCAATTAACAATAGACTCCATTTTTTCAGTGTTGTTAATTGCGGTAGCAGCAGTGCCTATGAACCATACAGCCGGTAAAGAGCAATGGTCTCAAAAAAACACTGGCCATTTATTTGTTTTCTCTCATGAGCCCTGAAAGGGAACATTCTCACTTTTGGACATCTTCTGGTTACTGCTTTCCAAACAGCAGAAAGCCTTAGCATAGCATCTTTGTTCTATCAGCAAGAAGTTGCTAGCAAAGCTGCTACTGGGAAACATCCCCTTCCACTTTTTGATAGTTATCTCAATCTTTCACTTTCCCCTGTGATTATATTATTTTAATTAGATGTTCTAGGAAGTGATTTTTCACCATCAGGAACTTGTGGAAATATTTGAGAGTATGTTTTACACTCTTTCACAATTTGTTTTTTTTCCAAAATTAAAAATCATCCAAACAGGGAATACTAATTTAGCATAACTCAAAGTTCACTCTTTGCAATAAATTATTTTGGAACAGTGAAAAAATATTTCCTCTTTGAGGAAATTACTGTTTAACTAGTATTCAGTAGCAAATAAAACCAGGTAAATTGTTAGCTGTAGACACATTGACACATTCTTATTCACAAAGTTGAGCCCTCCTCTGTCAGCTGTTAGTGAGCACTAACTCTACTCCCAGGTGCCTGATGGTTTTCTTCACTTGCTCTCTTAAACCAAGGTAGGTATGAAAACAATTACTGAAATATGTGCAGGCAAATTAAAACTGATCATATAAAACATCTATTGAGTGAGAAGAATATTTAAATACACAATGATGAAAAGTAGAATATGGTAGGGCAGGATCTAAAGTATGGTGAGATGCAAGTTTTAAATATGGTGGAGGGAAGCTCTGCATAAACAAGTATCCAGTCAGATGTATATTGTGTATTTAAATCACATCCATGAGAGACATGCTGTCTAAAATTGATGGGTGTGATACCATATTTATCTTCCAAACCCGAGGCATCTCAGCAGCCTGACTTTCCAATGTCACTGAAGGAAAGAGAGCAGGTATGTTAAGAAGCCAATGTCATTCAGGTGTTCCAAGTTCAATATTCAAAAATCCAAAGCTGAAACCTTATTGCACCTGAAAACCTTGGACCTTGGTTACAAATAAGCTCATCTACCAAGTATGTTTGGTGTAGTAATGAATTGTTCAATTTTCCAGTCTGTTTTGATGAAAAGAAGCGTTTTCAAGCTGAGTGTCTGTAGCAGGCTGATGTTGATGAGCTGCACAGCATGGGGTGAAGGTTTGGGTGATGAAACTTAGCATCTTGCTCATTTGTAGTTAACTGTCAGGCAACCTCAATTTTTTTCACATTTACAGTGTCCTTAATTTGAAGACCAAAACTTGCTGGGCTTCAAGCTGCTTCTTGGTGGATCCTTTGGGAGAGCTTTCCAACTGCTGTTTGTCAGTCCTGCTCTTGTACTGCACTAGCAGAATTCTTGTGCAAATCCATATACCATTACCAAAAAGCAAATTGAAAGATGAACATAACATGGGTATAAGGTCAGCAGCCTGAATCAAACCCACTTCAACCAGTGCAGTCCAGAATCGTGGGTATTGTTCATGTACGTATACAAAACCAGAAATAAAACAGCCTGCTAAACTTGGAAGTATGTGTTTTTACTGGCTGCACTATGCAGAACTGGAGAGCTGCATGGAAGCAAGGACAGCTTTTCGAAACTTTGGCAGGGAAAGGAAGCTTTTCTTGACCAGTGCTGAATCTTGCTGTGTTGGGAACTAAGTGAGCTCCTTAGTCTTGCTGCAGCACTCTTTCTTTATTTTTCCAATTGATTGTATTTATCTTAAGATTGTAAGTAGAAGGACACAACAAAAGCATTTACTTCCGAGTCTTTTGTGATGAATTGTTTAAATCCAGTTCATCCACAATCTGGGCTCTGTAAGCTTGTGTGCTGTTCCTTTTGAGGAGTTCTCTGCTGCTGCAGCTTCATGATTCACCATCACTGGGCATACATGAAAGAGAAGAAACACTAGCATCATGCTACTTGGTCGCTTCTCTCTTGCATATGAGCAAGAGCTGGTCCAGCTTCTGCTGGCTAGAGGCTATCCTGCCACCAGGCATAGACTGAGAAATCAAATACCTTTTCCTAGACTGGGAGATAACATTTTACATCTTATTTATTTTTAACATTAAAACTGATAAATGAATTTTCATTTTCTTCGTCTTCTGCCTAGATAGCTTGCTCCCTGGCAAGCTTCATCAAGAATGTTTTATATGCACCGTAATAAAAAAAAAAAAATGCAACTTTAGTTTAAAGGGCCACAATCTTAATATTTTGTTTTATTTTTTAGTGTTTTATTAACAGATCTCCCTACATTAAGTTTATGTCCCAGTCTGAACTGATAACTGAGTACCTGGTGAAGGGGGTGGCTGGTCCGGGATGCATAGGTGCAAGCAATTCACCTCTGCTTCCTATGTGTCCCTGGGTCCGCCCCTCCTTGGGCTTGTTTAAGCACTAGCATCTGAAGGGAAAACCTCTCCTGGATGAGGGCTGCTTCCTGAGGAGAATTCTATAGCCAGAGACTCTCATCCACTGTTGGGTGAGTCAAGTTTTTCTTTAATATGATTATTGATATTCCTAATGTTACTTTGCCTGATACTGCAAAGAATTCCTCAGAAGCGGTTTTACTGCTTCCGAGGACCAACGCTGTACTACACTCTGGGAAGAGAATTTCCTTTTGTCCAGATTTGATTCTTCCCAAACCTCATTTCATAAGTTAACCCTTTTCTTTTTGGTCAAAGAATAAAAACAAATAAATAAAAAACAGTGGAGTGCCCTGTGGATGCAATAAAGTGTGTGTGAGAGGGGCTTTGCTTAATCTAACTCAGCAGTCCCAAAAGATGGGTGTTGCTCCTCTCTACCAGGGGAGCGAAGGTGCACAAGCCTCTACCTATGTCCTGTATGCATAGAAACCCTGGACATAATTTTAGCACTAGCCTTCAAAGGTGAGATGTGTTTGTACAAAACACATCTATATTTATATATTTGTAACTCAGTGAGCTGATGTGTGGAGCAGCTGAGCACCACCATGAAGGGAGTCAGGGCTACAATCCTTTGCCCCTGGTGCACAACTTCACAGCCTTGATGCTCGTAAGTTTTTGCAATATAATAGCTTTGTTTTGTTTTACTTTGTGGCCTTTCACTTTCCTTGTTCAAGAGATGCAGAAATAGGTATTTATCTGCACATACTTTTTTGGAGCATTATTTGGTCAGGGATAAGTAACTGCTTTTGCCTAATAATCACAGAATTGTCGGAAGGCACCTCTAGAGATCATCTAGTCTAACTTCCTGTTGAAGTGAGTTACCTGCAGTAGGTTACAAATGTTCAATCACGGAAATGAATGGGAACCAAAAAATGGTACCACTTAAAATATGTTTTTACTTTGAAATGAAGCATGTTCCAAAATTTCACATAAGATGAACCTAAGAAATGTAGTTGATTTAAGATAAACCCTTAATTGCTGTGTTCTTCAAAATTTTATATTTAAAAAGTTACCTACTCTGTCAAGTAGTTTTGTAACAACATTCATTCTGAAAACATCAAAATGTCATTAATGCAGTGTTTTGTCTTGGATGCTTTAAAAATGTTGTCTTATATAAATCATAGCTAAAAACACTTGAGCCTTAACAGAAGCTCCCAAGCACCTTGCATGAAGAAGGAAACTAATGACCAGACAACTGTGCTGCATCAGGCACTGAGAAGTTTCCTGTACTGAATCTTAATGATTAAAAAAAAAACTAACACCATTTGGGAAGAAACTTGGGAAGCTGATCTGAGTACTGATGTTAGCACCTCAGGCATCTGTGACAACAGCCTGATCAGTGAGGGAAGCTCTGTCTGTGCCATCTGCTTGTCTGTCCTACACAGGTTTGCTGCTGCAGGGTTAGTTAGGGGTTTACAGACAGTCACTGATTTAAAATTAAAGGAGCATCAAACCATTTGAGCTGGACCCAAAGTTCTCATGCATAAAACACTCTAAAATTTAAATCTGCCTACTAGTTGGTCTATTTATTATATAGTTCAGAAACGAGGTTATCTTGGAATGACTGGCATTGACTGTATTTATTCAAAGAATATAATGAATTCGAAGTACCTCGGATTGGCCACTGATTCTTTTTCTTCTTCTCTTACAGTAGGTAAACATTCACAATCAGCTGAAAAAGGATAAGAACCAAGATGATTGTTACTATTGGCCATTAGTCTATGTTTATTTCAGAATTGCATCAATTTCTTTGTGCAGTGACTCTGGTGTATAAATCTGCTCTTCTGCACCCTTTTATCTGTATAATCTCCATGTTCCAAGCAGCATAAATGTTATGTTTTAAATCCCCTTTCCCTTTGATAGCCATTAAGGTAATTTGTTTGCTAGGAATACTTCAGTTTTTTGTGTACACGTGCACAAAGTCTCTCTGTAGGAGGAACGTTTCCCATGAGCTACCATGGGGGACAATTTGTTAATCCTCCACTGCTGATGGTTGCACCCATGTTTTGTAGTTCCGTTTAGGGAATGTTACAAAATAAACAACCGCAAAATGGTTGATCCCTTCTGTCCAGAGAATTGAAAGTTATTTTACAGCACTGCACACTTAATGCCTTTATTCTACTAGTGTCTCTTAGAATGTGTTTTCTACTGGAGGTTACAGACTAAGAAGGTCAAAGCCCCATCATGTGGCTGGAGTGCTGTACTAACACAGAAACATGCTCCGAAGAGTTCTGTATCCTGTTTCAGCATTTCCTAGATAGTGGGAATCTGTTAATGCAGATGCTTGGAAGTGTTAGCTGTGAGGGTGTAGGAGGTGCTTCTGATGAGAGATACAGAAAATATCAATTGCTGGTAGATTTGCTGGAGAGGGTGCAGAAGATGGGGAGCAGCAGCAAAGAGCAGCTTGCTTTTCGTGCAGTGGGGATGATAAAAGAAACCACACCAAGAGCGGAGGGATGCAGTCATAAGATATTTATAGCAGTTTCAAGTAAGCAATGGTCTGAATTACAAGTAAATACTTGTTTCTTCTACAACAGCATGGTGTGGAGCACAGATCTGTAGGAGCTGAAGACTGAAAGGATTGGATGGTTCAAATAAAATACTATCTATCGTTAAAATGTGAGTTTAAAAATATAAGTTCCGTTCACACTTGTGTTTACAAGTGCCTACTGCAAATTCAAAACATTTATGATATTCCCTCATATGTTAAAAATCTCCCACACAAACTAAAATAGTCCTCTGAACAATCCCACTCTGACATTTGTGCTGCTATTTCTGTAGAAGAGTCAAGAACACAACTGAAAATTCTTTAGGGAAATCAGTGACACAAATACGATGCCTTACATTGCTTTTCTATGCATGGGATTTATGTCAGCTAAAAAGAGAGGAATGATGGAGTAGAGAGGTTACCATATACCATTTTTGTTCATGCTGTTCATCCACTTATCGAGCTCTTCCATTTCTATCTCCATAACAGAGGGTGTGTCCTCTTCGAAAATAGGGCTTCAGAGGAGGGGGAAAAAAGGCATTACACAAAAGCTTAAATCAACAAACTGATAAGGGCTGTCTCATATTCCAGGCTTATGTAGGCACTCTGGAAGGCCATCCTAGATAAATGACCTGGGAAGAGGTCAGCCTGAAGGGTGTATGAAGGCAATGGCAGCTAGCAGATGTCAACAGCTGGGCTGTGCATGGCAGGTCTTACTGGGATACCAGTGCAGAGAATGGTCTCAGGACAAGGTGGTGTGGTGCGGGCTGCTTGGGCGCAGACGGCTGGCACAGATATCCCAGACCCGTCCATCCTGCTAATAGTAAATTGGCAAACAAATGTGTTCACCTATGGAATACATAGTAAGTGTCCTATTATCACTGTTGCTCCAGTGATTGAGTTTTGTTGTAGCTTGAGTAGCAGTGACAGTGACTTAAAAGGGAAAGGTCACAGCTATCCTAATTCTGTATTTATTTAGTCCTCTTTACTGATTTTTCCTGTAATCATATGGTTGAAGAATTATTTTAAGCAAATTATTTTTTTTCCCATTAATCCAGTTTTGTATCTTCCAGCACTGATTAGCAAGATGGAGCTTGATAAAAGTTATCACGTGAGTCAGAGCTGTTCAGTTCTTAACTATGTTTTGTTTTTTTTCCAGCACAGCCAAAGAGTGGGAAGATAAGCTTGAAAACAGGGGCGAATGACACAGAGCTTATACTAAATGGTAGAAGAGTGATATGCACACACTTTACCTTTTCACATTTTCACTCCCCAGCTCATCTGGAAAAGAAAAACAGTTTGTGTTGAGTTTCCTTGTTTGTGTATATTCACTGTATTATAGGATAGTCTTCAACAGGGTTGTTTCAAATGAGTTATGTTTACAAAGGGTGTAACTGTTCCCTTTTAGAAGAAAGACAGAACAACCTACCCTGCTTGCCTGCAGTTTTCACAGCAACCCATTTTTAATCCTGGGCATGCTGTTGAAGCTCATCGTGAGCTCACCCTGGCTGAGAGTGGGTGGATATCAGCATTGTGATGGACATAGTGCACAAACGCCCAGTTCACTAGCAAGGCATGCTTGTATGCTGTTTTAAACCAACTAATATTTAATTAAACATGGCCTGTGTGTGCTAACACCAGTGCCAGTATTACTCCTCTGCTGCAGAACCCCCCAAGACCATGGATCCATCCACCCCTGCCGTAGCGGTGCTCAAATTGCCACCTCAAAGCAATGGCAGTTGCGTGGGAGATCCTAAGATGGTCTCTGGTCTTGCTGGAGATGAGAAATGGGCATCAAGGTGCCTGTCTGGGAACTGAAAGTTTGCTAGGGGTGTGGGCTGACATAAGGCAGGCACAGCCTCAAATTGCCATGGTAAATGACACCTTCATGAATTCATCAATTGCCTTCATGATCAGTTATGAATGCAATGCCAAAGCATGGCTTTTTGTTGCTTTATGCTCCAGAACTGCCGATTTCTCTGTTGAAGTTGGCTTCCTGAAAAACAGCTTTCCTTCCTGTGGCCAGCAGCCAGAGCAGCTGTGTGGCCCTGACTCATGTGGTTGGCACCCTTCAGGCTCCCTTACAAAGTTCCTTTGAAATGGTCATGCCTGTTCTTATTCTGAAGCACCCAACCATCCCACCCTGCAGGCAGTATAAGGCGGGAGTAGTGCCTGATCCACCTTGTTTGTAGTTGTTGAGCACAAAGATCAAGTTGCATGGCTGTGGCCCCATTCTGTTGTGGGTACTGTGAGGAGCTGCAGCTTGGCACTGTGGATCCATGGTCACATGGCATGAGCTGAGAAGCAGCTACAGCTCACAATGTGGGGCTCATGCATGCCTCTCCTTTTCTGCACAAGAGACATGGAACTAAAAACAGAGACAAGCATCCTAAATGGGGCATCCTGACGCTTGAAATAATTTGTTAAATGATGTCAAGTGTGTGGTAAAGATAGCTTCCCAGTGCCCAAGAAGAGAAGTTTACCTTGCTTAGACTTTTTCCTGTTATGGACTATTATAAAAATGATGACCAGTAAGACCAGCAGGGCCAGCACCACTGCAGGCACAGCATACGCTAGGACAGATGGCTCTTCCGTCTCCAGACTCCCGTTACTGCTTGTGTCGCTCAGTTCAGGGCTGGGTGTACTGTCTATTTCCAGGCTGCCTTCGGTGGGCCCTGCAGTAACCAGCACTGGCTGGGGGCTGCTCGCAGAGGTAAGAGACAGAGGAGGTGCAGAGGGAGGAGGTGGCACTGTAGCAGTGGAGAATGCTGCTGTTCTGTATCCTGAGCCATCCTCGTCATTTTCAGAGCCTGCCAAACACAGGAGGACAAGTTAACATTTTGTGGGTTTCACTGACATTATCAGTGACTCAAAGCATGCAGCTTTGCTATTCATTCAAGTCTTATGAAAGATAATCAGTGAATGCATGCACACACCTGAATTCTTGGCCTTTGGATGCTAAACTAGATGGCAGGTCGGCCACAAGTCTCTACCTCAATGTGGTTTTTCAGCTAACTTGTTCAGGGACACTTTTTGTTACCCCCCGGTTTCTGCAGGTTGCCATCATGGCACAGCATTTATGCTACAAAGCAGGATGGAATGGCATGACCTCCGCAGTGACATGATTGTCTCTGCTGTTCTCAGGTGCTGGGCAGATAAGAGTTTCCACTTGAGTTAGCCAGAGCTTCGGGTTTTTAGCTCCTCATTGATGGCATTTCAAATCTCACAGGACTGAATCTGAAAGTACTTAGCATTTAAAATGCTTTGGTAAACACATTAATCTTCATAATGGCCCTGAAAGATGAGCAGTTATCATCTCCATTTTACAAATGAGAAATCAGAAGGACAGAATGCTGTCCTTCCCAGGGATGCTGAGAAAGAGAGGAAAACTGAGGTAAGAGCGCTACCTCTTGCTTCACCTACCCTGTAACATCCTCATCTGCCACATCTGTCTCAAGAGGGAGCTGAGCATCCCATGGGACTGTGTGCCAGGAAGCCCAATTTCAAATGACTGCAATGCTCTGAGTGGGACAGCAGCAATCTATCTGCCTCTCTGTGCCAGTTACCATGCAGGCATCTGATTGTTTCATCCTCTCTTTAAAGCTAGGAAAGAATGTTAATACTTATTAAATAATGGGTGATACTTCAGTAAGGTATTTGGCTACTATGAAGGCCACCAACCTCTTTCACTGCAGCACAACAATGTGAAATGTCAGCTCTTTGGTGGCAAAAGGCTTCATGTCAGTAGACTCCATGCTGCAATCTTCCCTATTCAGCCAAGAGCAAAGCACAGCGTCTGCATCCCTGCAGGCAGTGACTCCTTATGCATGTGCTCCTGTGATCTGCTGGCTCTCATTAATCCTCTCATTACAGAGGACGGGAAGACCCTCCATTACTCTTTTTAGCAACCTGACTTCTCTCCAGAGGTAGTTCATAGTCCCAGCGTTTGCACCTCCTCCATTTATACCACGTATGTTTACCTCTATCACCGTATGTGGCCAGAGAGCTGCTGGCAGAGCAGACGCACCGCTGGGTGCATTCCTGTAACCACTATTTTCTCTCTGCTGTGGCTATCCCTCTGACACCTGTCAGCTGTCCGGGCTGGTAGATGTGCAATGACCAGTCTCTTGCCAAAAATAGTGCAGAGGGGAAAGGGTGGGGGGGAAATAGTTTGTTTTTCATTTACTAGTCGAGCTAAGATGGATTTTTCTAATGTCTGAAGCATGAGGTGACTCTAAAACAAAAGCAAACAGTCACTTCTCATTAAATGCAGCACCAGGCTTTCAGCTGCGGCATAAGCTGTGTTTGATTTCCAAGAGAGACATTTCCAATGTCTCCACTACTTTTTATTTGCCTATATTTGAACTGCAAAGCAGATTTCAAGCTATCTATCTCTGCATGAAATAGAATTACCTTTTCTAGTCTCTGGATAAAGAAAATGGCAAATCACAGGAAGGAGTGACCTTGTCGCCACATATTTTTGTTCACTTTACATCATTCCAGAGACAAAACACAGTCTCTTTTTTGGACAAGATTTCCTCTCACTAGGGCATTTTCTTCAAGCAATTTGGCTGTCTTTCAGCATCAGCGCAGCCGATCGCACAAGGTTCCTGCAAGCACCATGCTCTCATTTCCCTTGTTCTCCCTGTAGCTGTGGCACATCCCATGCTACCCTGCTGCCTGCCGCTCTGGTCTCCAGCATGGGGATACTGTGATATCTTTGCTTCCGAGCCTGCCTTTCAGGCATGCAAAGGGAGCTGAATGTCCCAAGCAGCTTTTGTACCAGCATGTGGGCAGCTCCACAAACAAATAGCATTTCTGCTGTGGCTGCATTTCTTCCTCTGAGGTTTGTGTTGAGGCACTTGGAGGTGGCGATAGGAGCTGTCGATGAAGCAGGCAGGCAGACGGGTTTCTAGTTGTGCCTGGATGAGAGGCAAAATAAAACGCTTGCAGTCAGCACGCTGAGTTCTGCTGGCAAGGACCCGTTCCACCCGCTGGGCTCTCATTGAGCTTGTGGGCTGCAATCTTTGAAGGGAGTTTTCCAACTTACACTACAGCTCCTACTTGCAGAAGAAAGAGGGCTGGGAAGGACCGGGTCTGAATCAATGAACAGTCAGGTTTAGTAATTTGGGGATTTTTGGTTTCTCCATACTGTCCTCTAAGTTATAAAAACACAGCAGCAGGAAGACTTGGGAGAGGGAGGCAAATCCAGCAAAGACCAGGAAGCCCTGCAGAGTAAGGAACCCCTCCACTCGCAGCACCACTCCCAACCTCTGCCCCTCCTGGCAATGCACTCCCACATCTCCATGCCATGCGCGTGGCGGCTTGGCTGTGCCTGACTCACCCCTCGCCCTGTGCTGATCTGAGCACAGCCGCTCCCTGCCATGCCCAGGGCCTGCTTGGGCTGCATGCTACAGCAGGTTGCTACTGGCGCTGCCGCGGGCCCTGCAAGGCACCGTGAGTATCTCAGGGTGGCTGCTCTGTCAGATGCAGGCAAGAGCCCATTAGAGAGGGATGCTTGGAAAGTGCTGTCTGGGTGTTATCTGGAGCATCAACCCAATGTTCGAGCTCCTTTCTAGGCAATAGAAAGCAGTGCTCCCACTCCACCTAAATGCTCTTTTAAAGGCCAATGTTGCGTGTTTGGTCCTGTGCTCGGAGCCGTACCATGAGCTTGCAGCCTCATCCATCACCGTGAAAGCTACAGCTTTTCCAGACCAATCTGTGCTTTTAGTTACAGTTTGATCACATGTCCTTCCAGCTCCACACCAGTGACATGCAACTCTGCCGCATCCAGACACATGGTGCACAACTCTCAGTGCTCCCTGCTCTCAGCAGAGCTGTGAAAGTAATGATTCAACAGCTCTAGGGGCTCAGCAGCAATATGAAACCTCTCAAGGCATTACAGCCATGGGTCACTCACTGAAATTTAACATACGTGACCCCCTGCATGAAGACTGCACTGGGACCTGGGCATGCTCACTGTGCTACCACCCCCCAGGAACTGCAGGGTGGCCAGGACAAAGCTGTCTGTGCATCACAATCCAAATGGCAAGGCAAGAGTTTTACAAGGCTCCAATGCGGTGTGAGAACAGGGTTTATAAGGCTGCCATCTGTCTGTGCTGTGGGGTCTAATCACACTCTCATCACCTGTTGTGAAAGTGCTTTCCAGATAGCACAGGTGAAACTGCAGGGATCCCAGCGCTTCTGAGCCATGTCTGGGCCTGGAGGAGTCAGGAGGAAAGCTTCCAGAAAGTTGCTGCTCTGTCGATCTGTGAGCAGAAAATGGTGAGGATGTCCTGGGAGGGCCGGCCACAGCAGAACTCACCCAGCCCAGCTGTGGCTTGTGTAAGTCCCTGTAGAAACCCGGATTCCTCCGGGTCTGTTCCTCCTGCCTCTCTGCTTTGCTGAGACCTCTGCTCTGCTCTGTTCCTGATGGGATTTTTCTTCCCATGGATGCTTTGATCATGAGGCATGTGCAAAGCCTGCAGCACATTTTCCTGACATGCCTGCAGCACAGCGGGGCTGCCTTTAATGCAGGCAAGACCAAACCGTTTTGTAACAACTCTTACTTCATTCCTACAGCTAAGCACGATCGCTAACCGTGATAAGATCTGCAGCACGCCTAGAACCTCCAGCCCAATTATACAGCCTAGAATAGTACTGACTTTCAGGAAAAAAAAAATGAACAACCAAAACACAACCCACCTATTTCTCCCTGCCTGCAGCTTTAACATACTCCCAATCCACAACAAGGCAGCAGGCAGTGGCTGGCGTGATGCCGGGAGGTACTTCGGCCCCTCGGTACTTCAAGCTGTGAGCTGCACGCCCATAGCAGGAGCCCTCAGCACTCAGCCACCCCGCCCTCAGAGCTCCTGAGTGCTCAGCAAGGCAGACCACCAAATACTGATCTCAGCACTGGCTGTTCTTCTGAGTTTTGGATCATCAGTGCTGCAGAAATCAGCAGCTGGCTTTTGAGTGGAAGGAGAGCTTGAGCTTGGTCTTCAGCTTTACTATTGCATACAGTGGACAGTATGGGTGTGGGATTGGGAAGGTACGAGAAGTGGTTAACATTAGACCCAAAAGGGGTTATGAGATAGACTGGAGATGGCAGTTCCCACAAACCTAGCCTGACATTTCGGATTAAATCTCCATCACACAGCCTTACATCTAAGGAGACGCAATAAAGAGAAGACACCGCCAGGAAGGAGCCAGGCAAGCGGAGGTGGCACGCGGCCGCTGGCAGCAGCAAGCAAGCTCCCGCAGGTCCCCTCTCCCCAAGGCCAGCTGCCAGCTGTCACCCCCAAAGACCCCACCAGCTCCCGGGGTCCCCATCCCAGGGGCCACTCACCGCCTTGGGTTGAGCCCTGCCAGACCAGGAGCAGGGCGCTGAGCAGAGGCACCCAGCCGGGCGCCCGCATGCTGTCTCAGCCTGCGCGGCTCTCTGCAGGCTTCGGCAGAGCATTTACATTTCCTGTTTCCTGCCCCCGGTGCCTCTGAGTTGTGCTTCTTTGGGAGATGGGCTCCGTTTGATTGTTTTTAGGAAGTGATGTAATGCCGTCCGGGCCTGTCAAGCAGGCAGGGATTGCAAAAGCGAGAGGAGGCTGCTCCTCCAGCTGAGGCACCTGTGTGTAGGCTTCCCGCCCTCTCTGCTCCCGCCTGCTGGGACGGCCCTGACACCATCCACTGCCCTCAGCACAGCGGGGCCGAGTGGCATCCATACCCTGCAAGGTCTGGGCACAAACACCACGTATCTGCGTTAGGCTGGGTGGCTTCAGGTTGTCTTTTGGGGTGACTGAGCCAGTGTATTGCAATAACACCTCTGTTTCCAAGCTCCAGTTGTCCCATCGAACGCAGTGCTCATTTGCCATCCCAAATGGCAGCCCCCAAAGCTGAGCTGGCTCTAGGAAATGGGTGAAAAAATGCTGGCCCACCTAGCATCCAGTATTTTGGAATAATTTTGGCAAAGAGAAGCATAAAAGTTTCTTGTTCAGAGCAGGTGGCTTAGCTGGAAAGCTCTCAGTGAGGGCTGTAGGTGACAAGGGGACAGAGGAACCTCAGCCACACACCTGCCACCATGCAGAAGGGTGTTTGGATCATAGGTTTGTTTGCTCCACTGCAAAATCAGCTGTGAGATCTAAAATTCACCTGTCTGCATCCAGCAGAGTCTGCAGCCCAGCTTTTGCTCTGGAGCATCCCAAATTTGAGCCAGTTTAGATGCTTGCCAAAACACTTTCCAGTACTAAACTGAGGAAGAAGAGATGTATGCTGCTCCCCCAGACATCAATCTCTGTCAAAATTTAGTTTCTGGTGAATTACTGGAAGTTGGCAATGGTGAATCTTTCTATTCAGGCTGGTGGAAGAAGCTGAAGTGACTAATTGCTGCTCCGGTTCTGCAGCTAGTAACTTTTCTTAACACATTGATGCTTTTATAGGTCATCAGTTATGGTTTCTTAGCTCAAGTAGCAAAGAAATAGGTCAGCGATTCATTTAATGGCCAGCTTGTTAATAGATTTAAAACGCTTGAATAACTGAGCTAACTAACAATTGGAACTGGTCGCATATTATTGGCAGTGTACCTTTATGCACTGCTTCGGACAGAGAGGGAAAAATGCAAAGCTACAGCACTGAAGCTGCAAGAAGATAAAGAGGAGTTCTGACAACACCAAGTGGCTGATAACCAATTCTGAGAGACTTTCTTCAGTACCTGATAATCCTTCCCAGACAGATGCTTCTGAGGTGAGGATTATGCATTTAAGATTTTCTTGTTATAAGGTTGCACAAGTTCCAAGTGTTAGTAATAGTGAGTAATTGATTCGGCTGCTTTCAATTATTGCTCACCCACATTGCAGCAGTGCCTGGCATTCCTAGTCCAGGGCTAGATCTTTTCCACACCAAAAGTATCAGCAGACAAAAACCTCTTCCCAAAGAGCTGGCTGATGTAATGTACAACGGATGCATTATCCCCCTTTCATTTCTTCCCTCTCTTTCCCCAGTTTGCCACTCTCAGTCTTCGTAATGCCAAGTGGGCTGCAAACATTTTTCTCTCTGCTTACCATGAGCTGCATATCTGTCTGTGTACATTCTGTAAGTGTAGCCCAACTCACTCATCCCTTACTAAAACATGAGATAGACTAGAAGGGAAAAGAGGGAAGGACTTATTTACTGCCCTTTTTCCCCCTCATATTTCTACTACACGAGACAATATCCTTTCCTCTTTTCCCTTGAAGTCTTTCCAGATAGGTTATAGCATTTCCCACTTGGATCCCCACCAGTCATTTTTGATACACGTTCAGTTGAAAACTCATGGCTGCCCCTCGAGAGCAAGATAACCACCCACTCGTGTGTACCTAATTAATGACTTATAAGGCAAATTAAAGTTCAGAAAACGTGACTTCATGCCACATAACATTTTAATTAAGCTTCAGAGCAATACAAAGGCAACTTGGCGTGCATTTAACTATTTCAATGCACAAAATGCAGCTGCTCCTGCAGAGCCAGTCCCAAGTAGGCGTGCTCCTAGCAGCCACTTGCACAATTTCAGCTTTTTTTTTTGAGCCCTTTTTGTACCTCCTTAACATGTTTTCTTGATTGCATTAGTAAATACAAAAGGAGTGACTCCAAATTCAACCTGCTTTGAAATTGGAGGTCTCACTACCTGCAACTGCACAAGAGCAGTGACCACCTCATGGCAAAACAAATGTGTGCATTTAGAAACTGGGGTGGCTGCAGCTTCAGAGGGTCTTTGTGAGGGAGCCAAGTGGTAATTACAAAAAAGTAATTTTATAGCCCTTTCTGTACTGAGTGGGATCCATGATCCACCCTAGCAAAAAGAAATGAGAGACATGCGTAAGCTTCCTGTGCCTTCGGTGGACGTCACCCAGCTGGAAACATCTGTGCATGTGTGAGGTACTGCTGGTAGTCGGGCTGTTTGCTAATCCCTTTGTAATCAGTGAAAGGTTTGTGTCATGGAGATTCCAGGGACACCAGTGCCACAACTTAAGAAAAGTGGCAGTGTTTTGCAAAACTGCAGCTACCTGACTCACGCTCTTTTTGTTCCTTTTTCCTACGAGAGCCCCAACAACACCACAGCAGCTGAACCTTTGAGAGCAGTGGGGCATGTTGCTGGTTGGTCATAGAGCTTAAATTAAAAATTTGTGCTGGTGCAGCATGTCTGCTGCAGAAGTCAGCAGCTGATGGGCTTGCTCTGAAGCACAGACAGGGCCAGTGCCAGTCAAGTTCTGCCAGTCTGCTAGTTAGCGTCTTGTTCCTGCCCCTGAGAGCAGTTGGGAAATGACAGATAACATTTTCCCACAGGTCACCATGAAAGAAAGGGAAATTGCACTGCGTCGCAATTTGTTATGGCATTAAAAGCCATGCAAAAGGCCCCCAGGGGACAGAATGGTGAGCAAAGCCCGTGGCAGCTCCCAGAGTCATCCTCAGTGCTGGCTGCACCCATGCTTCTGCAGGCTGCAGGGATAGGTGGAAGCTGCCAAAATAAAGTTGCCAGAATCAGGTCACGCATGGGAATCTGTGCAGCAAGTAAAGCACTCTGTCCAGCAACAATCCTCAGCTCTTGAGCAAGTTGTGTTTTATTTCAGAGATTCTCAGGAAAAAAATTTACACTTTTCTAAGATCAGTGCCACCAATGCATGCTAGAACAGTGCTTAAAAAATGAGATACTGGCCCTAACTGAAACAGCACAGCTGAAATTAGAGGGTAATAAAAGTATAAAACCCAGTATGTGCCAGTTTTACAACCTCTCTGAATAACTGCTTGTGTACATTTCTGCCCAGTTTTATTGCCTTTTTCTTTATTTTCCACCTCCACACATCACGGACCATACAATTGTGGCTAAAATATTTTGGAGACTTCAATAGGAACAGAAAGAAAATATACAATTATAGTTGAGCACACGCAGATGTTTGTTTCTAAGCTCCTTTTCAACAGAATGAAAGCTTCCAAGGAGGACTGATAGCATCTCCAAATTCACCTGAAGTTAGCACAAAAAGATCACTGCTAGCAGATGCTCTGTGAGGTCTCGGAGAAGAAATCCCAGCCTGCACACTGCAGGGCCAGGAATCGATTTTCAGGCATTTCTATTAATTCCAACAGTGCAGCCCTGTGACAGAAATGTAGAGGTTATTCACCTCCTGCATTTGGTCAAATGGCCAGAAGCAGGGTGTGACTGAAAGTGCGTGCACTGGTTTTAAAAGGGTCTGGGTTTTTCTTCCTGATCCTTTATTAATAATGGCTTTGATTACTTGCAGAGCAGCACAGGGGAGTGCTAGTCAGAGGCTTGCTCCATTCTTTGGAAACAGTCATGTGAATGTCATTCTGCAATGCTGAGCTGGAGTTTGGGACCAAAGGACATAGATACAATTTTTCTGTTGGGTTGCCACATATCCCAAACTCACATTCTAAGTGCATGTATTGCAAGCAATCCAAGATTAGTTTAAGCAGCAGGAGGTCCTTGGGGGCACGGCAACTGTGCTGAAGGAGAGGACCCTTCTGCTCCCCATCAGGGTTTGGGAAGACATCTGATGAGAAGGAGGCTAGTTTGGAGGCCTCGCTGTGGTATGGGGACAGTGCTCAAATGCTGCTGCAGCAGCAGATCTGGCTGTAACTTGAAGTGTTGGGAATAAAGTCTTTCTGTAAGAAACTGTATAGGCACAGGGGACCAAGGGGTAGATGCTGGAGTGGGGATGTGCTTTCAGCAGCTCAAACAGGGGAAGAGGCAAGAGGGTGCTGATTTATCTCTGCATGGCATGTCGGCCTTACAGATGTGCCTAGTAATTAGCTGCCACTTTCAAGTCAATGCTTGATTAAGATTTATCTTGAAAAAATATGCAGTGCTTTATAGAAATGGAAACATTTCTTTTAGACTGTTAATAAAAAGTGAAGCTGATGAAAGGGAGGATTGAAAAACAACTGTAAAACTGCCTCAGGTATAGTCATCAGTGCATTCAGCAAAATGAAGGGTGGAGAAACAAGATACATGAGAAAAAGCAAAGTATGTTTTTAAAACCCTTGTTTTTATTTCTAGGGTGCTTCAGACTGACAGCACATATCTTCTCAGCTGTGAAAGAAGCATAAGAAAAGAAGAAAATCAGAATTGTGCAGTAGTATTCTACCATAAAAAATGCAACAGCACACCCAAACTGTAACACAAGCTGTAAGAATTTTCCAGCCACTCCTTAAATCTGAAGATGAACTTTGATGTCCTGAAATAATGCTGCTTAAATGTTGCTTGAGACTTTTTTAGGCTGGAGCAGCTGTCATTTGATCCTCCCAAGTCCCTCTCTGTATCTTTGAAGCAAAATATTCTCTACATTTTCCTTTGCGTATTTTCACTGTAATTACTGAACTTCACTTCTCAAATATCTAATATAGGGTCCAGACTATAAAGGAACATTAAAGAACGGCTTTTTTAAAGCTGTTCACATACCTAAGGATGCAAATAAGTGCTAACCACATTCAAAAGTATGGGTATCTGATCTGGGACAAGTTTGGT